ATTATTTTCTTTAGCGGTCTTCATTGCCACGTGGAGTCATGCATTTTCAGCACGAGTGGAGGAAATGACAGCAGGGATAATATTTCAGAAAATTGGGCCAGTAGGTACTGTATTCATCGGCTTCATATTCGGTCAGCTTAAAGTACAATATCTCGCAATTAAGGGCACAGGATGTGCAGTTGGAAAGCGAGTTCCTCCATTTGCAATCATTTATCGCTAACGTGGCTAAACTGTCAAAAATTAAAACAACATTGCTTGCGGAAGTGAGAGATTTACATGGTGAGCTGACCGAATATGTGACTGAGATGGAAGCGGTATTGGACCTGGTCCCCCAAGAAAGGAAACCACGCTCTCTGTGCGACGGGTTCGGCAGACTCGTCTCGAGCTTGACGGGGTTAATGGATGACGAGGACAGAACCACGGTGCAAGGGAGCCTCGGGGATCTTCAAGGCAGAGTAGACGAGCTGGAGGCTGAAATAACACCTCACAAGGCAATTATCCAAGGGATGCTCAACGGGACGATGCAGAACGCGAAAATTCTTAATGCATTAACACGAGAGATGGTAACTAATGGTAACGCTATTGGAGATCTGAGGAGCGCAGTTGACCTCGAGGCAAAACTGCGTGAGATAAGCTTCTGGGTTGCGAAACTGCGGTTCGAGAGATCGCAGCTACGACTTGGGCTCGAGGGTGCTCTGGAAGGAACATTGAGAGGAGAATTATTTCCTCCTCAATATTTATTCAACGTCCTGAGACGCATTGAAGTAGGGTTAGCCGAACAGTACAGGCTTGTAACCGAAGTTACGGCTAAAAAACTAAAAGTTTTTTATGATTTAGGGAAGGTGAGTTTAAGTAAAATTAGGGAAGAACTAGTAATCACCATTGATTTTCCTCTGAGAAGGGTAGGAATGGAGTTCGTGTTATGGAAATTAATAGCAATACCGGTTTTTCATCCGGCGTTGCAGTCATTTGTCCAACTTGACGTGAAGGATTATTTAATAATGTCATCAGACTTCAAATGGTTTGCAGCCCTTAGTTCACAAACAGTGGACGAATGTAAAAAATCAGTCAATATCACTGTTTGCCCAGCAAAAGTGCCATTATCCATGGAAACTGTCAATGCATGTGAATTCGAGTTGTTTTCAAGTAAGAAGTCTTCTAATTGTGAGAAAAGAATACTTTCAAACAAACCCGATGGGTATTTTCTACGGTTGGGGAACAAATGGGTTTTCTCCGTAATTAACTCGACGAAATTAAGCATAAATTGCGGGCAGCGGCATGAGTTTCGAGTTGTCACCGGAGCCGGCGTGCTCCGTGGACTGCAGCACTGCGATATTGGAACGACAAAGCAGTTGATGTTCGGAGGAGTCGAGCTGACGTCAGAGATGGTCGGGGAGTGGGAGGACTCAGTGATTCCCACTATCGATGGCGTCGCGGGTCTGACGGTAAATGAGGAGCAGGCCCTCGAGGAAGAGAAGGAGAGGGGGGACCTGGCTGAGAATGTGCGGCAGTTCGCGGCGCAGTCTGCCGACCGAGCTATGCTCAGCGCGCTTCTTTCAACTTTATCCGAAAGGCGAAGGAGTAGGCCATGGGTTTCTCCACAAATTCATTTATATGGCCTTTCGACATTGGTCCTTTTTCTGGCCTTGTTGGGAGTGTTAGTGGGGTGGCGGCTGCTTCAGGCCTCCGTGGCTTCGATAGCGAGTCCCATTCAAGCGAGGCGATCCAACGCCTGAGGTCAAGTGAGAGGGGCGTTGTTTTTGTTTTTTTTTTTCACCTTTTTACCACGTAAAAAGGCGGACAGTCTTTGTGGGTTTCGTCTGATACGAAATTCTCTGGTGGATGGCGTCGAGTTCGACCCCCTCCCCTCTGTCCTAAGAGTCATGAGACTGAGGGGATAACGAATTAATAGAGAGTATATAACAATTATTGATTAATTAATAAGATTTTAGTGATTTTCAGAAAAACGATGTTTCGATTAATGTATAAAATTATTAAAAGAATACCATAATTAAAATCCCACGATATTATAATAACTTGATGATTGAAAATGTTCCATTCTACTAATAACTTAATATTTCATTGGTTTGATATTGTATATTGTAAATTATAAAAAAGAAAATATATTAATATAAAAAAAAAACTTGGAAAAAGGAAAAAAGTTGAAAAAAAATATATATAAATTTAAAGGGCAAAGGCCTAAGAAGAAAATTCAAGAGTAACAATTCTTTTGGGAGTTTGTTTTCTAGTTCATATTAATGTTTAAAAAAAAAAAAACAGTAGTTCGTTTTTCCCTTTTGGTAATGATAATAAGAAGTTGTTTTTCTTTTACTTTCTTGTAGATACCTATGTTATAGTCATTTTTTCAAAGTTCTTGAGCAAAATTTTATATTTGGCCACCGGTAATTTTGCGGAATTTTAAGTCATTAACTTTTTGTTTGTAATTATTAGGGTTCAATCAAGATGTGAGAGTTGTTTTAATTGTATCTTTTCTTTACATATATACTAATTCCCGGTTATTTTATTACTGTGTTTCTATGTCGCCTGGCGGTCTTGTTTCTCCAGTTGGCTAACCTGTAGACGGAGCGGTGACGTGGCAAGAATCGGGGGAGTCTCCAAGAGGAAGTGCTCGACGGTGTGTCCTGCGTTTTCCACGGTCTTCATCCACCTTGGACCTTGGGTGGTGATAGGAAGCCTCTGGTGCGACGAAAGTTGTGGCCGGCTACGTATCATGGTTGATGTAGGCCGCAGTGTTGCTGCTATGGTTCATGTCGTCGCTTTAAACATTGGCACGTACGTCATCCCTGGCGGACTTGACCGTCCGCCCTCAGCACTTCAGCACTCTGGACCAGCTAATGTTTTCCTGGATCAAACTCATGTCTCACGTCTCGGTGCAGGAGTTTTTCGCTTGGGTTCATGAAGGCGTCGGCAACCGGATCAACTTCATTGGTTTCAAGGCCACGGAGATTACTTCCCCCGAGTATGCGCTACATGGTCGACGACGAAGGGACACGGTGCTCTGTTCTTTTCCCGTTGACGGAGGGGACTCACTAGACCACGGGTCTTTTCCGCGGCTATTCATGGATACAGCCTGGCTCGTCGCTTTGGACAAACAGAAACCGAACGGCGGTGATCGGCACTCCTCTGCAGGACTCTCGGACGATTCCTGCGGCTACACGAGGATGGGACGCAGGGAAGCACACTGGACAAACAGGATTCGGACGGCAGCATCGACAGTTTTATTGTACATTTTTAATGATTGGTAAATTTTTCAGGGAAGGGAGAAGACTGATTTCAGCCAGGTGGTCCTCGAGACGCTTATCCCTGATTGGGTTGATTCTGTCGCTGGAGTTTGTCTCATCTACGCAAAAATCGAGTCATAAGAATGAGATCAGAGCATTTTTTGTTTTTGTAGCGAGGGGGGATGTTGTGGGACCAGACCTTGCAGGTTTGGTGTCCACATTCAGCTCCGTAGATGAGGCATGCTTCGCGGCATGGCTCTTCGTGAGAAATCGCGGAGGTCCAGGGTCAGTCCTATCGGACGGAGTTTCTCGAGGCGCATTTGTTTATGTCCGCGCAGAGAGCTTCCGTTTTTCGGAAGTTCAAGCATTGGCATAAAAGGATGTGATATCCACGTGGGCGAGATCAGTCATCTAGGAAAGATTTTAGAGCTAGATCCGGTCGGCCCCTGTGAGTGTTGCTATTCATTAGAGATTTATATAGAGATTTAGATACATGTGTATTCATTGTGCTATTTCCATATTTGGTTGTGTTCTTCATTTACGCCAGCATTCCCCCCACAACAATACGTTGTCTCTTAACAAACATCGATGGACACCGAGAGTTGATAGCGATTTGACTGCCGTAGTACATCACTTCCATTGGTTCCCCGCCATTTGAGTCCTTAAACTTTTTAAAAGCGAGTTTGTTCGTTTTTCAAAATTATGGTTGTAAAAAACGCAATACACCACCATGCAATGTACTCATCTAGTATTTTCAGAATATTGAATAAAAAACACAAAGTTTAGTGACCCATTGCGATTAATTTCACTGCAAATGATAAAGACATGTAAAAATAATTTCTTTGGGTATTTATCATCCGCCCTGTCTGGTCCTATGGATGCCAGATCTGGAGTACTGCAATTCCCACCAATATTGAAATCATTCAAGCCCTTTAAAATGTACAACTTCAGAAAACATGTAAAGAAACCCGCTATGAGCAAAATCAAGACATTTGTAGAGATCTTGGGATCAAGATTAATAGAGATTATATACGTATGTAAGCTGTCCTCAAGATATGAGGATCACCTGCATCAACATTAAAATCTAATCGCTGTGTCACTGCTTGATAACACTAACGAATTTCGCAGACTTAAAAGAATCGAACAATGGGAATTAACTTCTCCAAGATTAGACCTATACCCTTAAGAGAAATACAATTATAGTTAAAATCAACCGTATGAAGAAAGTTTAGAACTTTACTGTGTATTTGTTAATACACCCATTTTCTGAGTATAAACTAATTTGCCCTCCCTCTCTTTACATTTAAACTCGTGAAGTATTACTGTTATACTTTTTTACTTTGTATAAAAAGCTCCTGTACTGATTACATTGAATAATATATAAAAAAAAAAAAAAGTATTTATCAAGACATAAACTAAAATTCTTTACTAAAAATTATTCCTCTGTTCAGTGCTCAGTGTATAATTTAGGTAGTTAACCCCGAACCAGATTGATATCCACAATCAGTATGACAATGCAGATTTCTTTTTTCAGTTTTCATTTTTTAAGTTTTTCAAATTTTAAAGTCTTTATCATCAAGCTCCTTCACTTTTTTATGGTTCCGCTAATCTAACGAAATTCTCTGATATGTCAAGGTTTTCTAGGCCTATAGACACACTAAGAGGGGCGTCTAGAGGAGGACAGAGAAGGCCATTAATGCATCAAGCTTTTTCACAGTTAGAAACGAAAAAAAAAAATACACCATTACCACCATTTACCTTTTTGATAGCTTGGGCATGTCCAATAGATCTCCGAAAACTACGAGACGTCCTATCTTCCATGCAAAGATTACGGTAAATCAGGTGCAAATTTTCTATAAAAAAACAAGAAACATTAATTAAAAATTAAGTAAATTATCAGACACTATTTGAAGGACCATACAAAAAAAACGGCACTTGTCACAAACTGCTACTTTTCAGGAAAGACAAAAAACCGGGTGGAATTTACAAAAAGCACTGCTATTTAATAATAAAAATAATCTACATGTTCGATACAATTAGTAACAAGGCCCCATAAGAACTTTTGAGATACCACGATATGAACGCCGAAAAAAAATAGCGAGAAAAGGGGAAAAGTGCCCTCTTTCAACTTGGTCACTTTTTACTCAGTTCTTGTTAGTATTAAGACAGCAGTACCAAAAAATATCCCATGGTACGAAGTTTCACAAAAATCGAACTAACAGAAGCTGAGATAGCATTTTAGGACACGTTTGCCATCTTCAGTAGAAAAACAGATAGTATTTATTTAATAATATTGAAGCGCTGATTCAAAAGTGCATTACTTCAAAAGAGAAATAGATAGTATTTTTTTTATTTAATAATATTGGAGTGCTGAATCTAAAGTGTCGCAGTTACTAAAGGTAAATATAGAAAGTAGAAGAATTTAATTAATAAAAAAGTCGAAATTCCAAGTTTCACGAGCATCAATGGAACAGGAGCTCGAGTTTACATCTGCTGAGAAGCATCTATCTATACTGTGAGCTCCAAGACCTCCCAAATTTGCATAACTGGTAACGCTTAGTTCCAGCGTTCTACCAGGCCAATTTTTATGATTTTTGCAGCTGTCGACGGGCAATTGTCTCTTGATGAGCCCGCTTTACTTAGATTTTCAAAATATGACCCAGGTTTTTTTGTATTACGTGGTAAAGTTGCGAATTCTCCCATTTAAACGATGTAAATTTTTATTTTTTGTCATGGTTCGTTTGAGCGTTCTGCTGGACCGATTTCCATGATTTTTGTCATCATCAGGTGATGGTCTCTAAATGCGCCCACTCTAAACAGATCCCAGGACCCAGGTTTTTTGACAATCACGTTATAAAAGTGAGCAAATTTACAGAATGCTCCGCAACTGCTGCCGCTATGCGCAGAAGGTTGCACAAAGGCTGAGTAGCCTGTGCATTTGCTCTAATGTATGAACGCAAGATTCGCCCGTTACGAATTATGTAGGACAGTGGCCGAGTCGTCTAAGCCGTCAGACGCTCCCGCATAAAGTCTTGGGTCGTGGGTTCGATCCCTGACTCGCTGTCCTTTTAATCAAGACCTGATTCTCTTCTCTCGTTGTTTTACTGCAATGGTTCATGAATCGACCATAGATAAATGCATACTTTTGATTTCAGATTTTTTTTGCTGTATTTAACTCAAACAAACATCGTTTCTTCTAAAAAGCAATATATACCTCATATCGTATTTTTTTTATGGAAAAAGTGTCAACGTTGGCAAGAAGCTAAAATAAGGGCCGCGAGGCGGCCCCTTGATGGCACGAAGCGCCTTCAGAGGGCTGGTCCGCGTAGCGATCAGGAGGTGTACCCCCTAGTACCTAACTAATCAGATATACTCTAATAGAGTACTTTTAAGTTTTGAAGGAATAAAGAAGTTGTTCGAGAACGGACAATGTTGGCCTTCCCTCCAATCATGAAACAAACTTTACTCAGTTGTTGTACTATTGCCCCCATGCTTATGAAAAATCTTAGCTCCGTAAGGATTGTTGACCTTTTTGTCACCACAAACCCACGAATGCAGCATCTGCGTTCACAGGGAGACCGTATCCTTCCGCAACACTTCCACCACCATTTAATCACTTAAATTCTGAGTTATTCACATTTGTAACTCTTTATGTTAAGGAAGATCTGAACTAAAACTTCAGATACTGTACTACAGAGTGCGCTTTGATTTATTTGCACGACAACTAGTATCAGTTGTGGGGCATGAACAGAGACAAGAGACCCTCCACTAGTATCTTGGCCATGGTGGAAGCTTTTACTTTCGGGACTTCAGCACTCTACTGTTGACTTACCTACATGGTTGATGTTCAACAACGTGTTGGCAGTTTCGTTTTGCAAACAAGCCGAAAATGGAAAGTTGTTTGGCTCATGACGTCATCCGAAGCTCATCATCGACCATGTAGGTAAGTCAACAGCCGAAACTAGGGTGATGACTGTTGCTCCCTAATAATTGTCCATAAGGAATTGTTGAAACCCCGAAAGTAAAAGCTTCCACCTGTCGCTAGGAGGCTAGTGGAGGGTCTCTTGTCTCTGGGCATGAATCTAGCCTGTTAATGAAAGGGTTAAAGGGTAGGGAGCAAAGCAGCAAAGTTCTCATTTTTTTACAATTTTCAGTGATACTTACCTGGATCTTAGTGTACGTTTTCCTGTAACAGGTATTGAAGTATAAAGACTTTCAATTTTTTAGCGCCCCTCCACATTTTTGGGGGGTCTTAAAAACTTGGGAAAAGAGGGGCTCAAATATTTTTCTTTGTTTTTTTTTCAAACCAACTTTCAAATGATGACAATACTAGAAACATTCAACCATTTATAAGATTATCTTAGATGAATTTTAATCATGCAATCAAACTTCTCCAGTGTTAGTTATTGTGCCAGATCATAATTTTCTCTGTATAAATTTACCTAAGTTGGCACTAATGTAAATTTAACTCTCCTCAACGGGCATCACTGTTTTGCTCACACCTGATTGGTTGGTGCCCAACCTTCTTATTTTTTCCCCTCTCTTTTTCCTTCCCTTACTGTTGAGATAGACAAGATGGAGTGCTTTTGTATCGTTTTTTCTTCATGTTCGTCATTCGTATTGAATTCCGAATAAAGCTATGGAAATCTCAAAGAAAAATGTCTTTTTCTTAGGCTCTGCTATCATCCAGAATTATTTCAACTGCACTGTGATAAAAAAATACGTGCATGATAGATACCTAAGCTCATGGATTGCCGCATTCGCTACTATAAATAATATAAACTTCGAAGGATTCAGACTTTCAGCGATTCTACCTTTTTCCATTTCAGTCGAGAGGTTGCCAGATTAAGCGATAAATGTGAATATTTCACATGGATTTGAATTGGGAAAAGTGCTAAAAAAGCAACTTATCTGGCAACAATAGAGTCCGGGAGGGACGAGAGACTGCCTTCCTGGGAAAACCCATGATTTAGCCGGAAATGTCATTAAAACAACTGATTCCGTTTAAGCATCAATTGTATACTAGGGGAAAGCCATTGTAAAATGATAATTGTAAATGGATACAGGTGCTACAGAAAGAGAAAAAGGAAAGGGAAAGGAAATGAAATGAGGATATGATTATAGTAATATGTAATCAGAGAGAATAAAACAAAAACATCAGAGAAATTCTCCAAAGGAAAAAAAGAGATTAATTTATAACACCATTATCAAAAGCATTCTGACCTATGGCAGTGAGGTATGGCGCTTGAAAGATCATTCTCAAAAGATTATTAAGGCAACCGAGATGGATTTCTGGCGCAGATCAGCGAGAATCTCGAAAAGAGATGATGTAAGGATCAAAAGAGTGCTTGCGGTAATGGATGCCAAGCAGGATATTGTGCATGAAATTAGGACCAAACAGATTGCCCTGTATCGTCATGTTCAACGAATGGCAGATGACAGATTGCATGAGAAGGTACTAGATTGGGTTGATCCTGGGAGGAGACGTGGGGGACGTCCAGCAAAATTGTGGATAGGAGGCATTCAAGATGAAATTACGAGATGTAATTTACCAGATGACCTCCGGGTCGATCGACAAGAATGGCATTTAGGTGTTGCAGAGCACCTGGGCACTTTGTAAAAGCGACATTTATGTATGTACTTACCGAGACATGTTTCCCCAACCACGTATGAGTCTCCTATTTGAGTTCCAAGTGCCGCTATGACAGACTGGAGATGTACTTGAGAATTCACCACAACCCACTCCATTTCTGGAGTCTAAAGATCTTCTGTAGTGCTGCAAAAAATAGGAAAAGGATTATAAAATACGGTTTCAGAACTTACTCCAATAGCATAAACAGCGTTAAAAATAAGAGATGAAATCGGCAAGGTTGGAACTGCTTTACTGGAGGAAAATTATCAAGTTTCCATCCCCTTTGGACTCTGCTCACGAGTATTAGAGTCTGTTCAACTTTAAAAAGTAGTTTACACAAGTGATATATCCAGAGAAAACAGATAGAACATGAAACGTAACATGGACAGAAACATGAAATTTCATTTCATGAAGTTTCGTGAAATTTCATTACATGGAATTTCGTGAAATTTCATTTCACCAAGTATCATCGAATTTCATTTCATCAACTTTCATGGAATTTTCCAATCTGGATGTAGCATAGTCTAGGGTGGTTGAATCCCGACGATTTTTCAAAATCCGATACGACACAATGAGTGTTTTGTGTACCAGGGTGGAGTATGTAGGGAGTGCGTTACTAGAGATAAACATACAAACAAATTTTTTAGGCTTCGCCAGTAGCCTTTATTTTTGGTTTCTTAGCTACAAATGCCTACATTTGTGGTTTACTTGTACATTTATTTTTAGAATATACAAATTGCTTGAAAAATTTCGAAAATTTGACACAATATAGTTTATTTGGCCCAGGGTATGTAAAACGTAGGTATGCTCTTGTCGACCTTTTTGGCTGAAACTCAGCTTTCGCCACCAGGGCCGTAGCGCGAGATTTGAATTTCAACATTTTCCTAGCCTTGACCGGAAATAAATGTGACCGTCTACTGTTGTTAAAAATTGTCAAATTTAAGGGAAGAAGATTTGATAAGATTGGAAATTCATATGTTTTTGTGAGGTGGCTTTTTGTTCATTTTTATTAATAGCAGAGATGGTCATATTTGTTTTTGGCCAAGACTGCAAAGTTGTTAAAAATTCAAATCTCGCGCCACGACTCCCGCAGAGGAAACAAAAATCTGCGCTCTAGTTGAAAGTGTTGGGAAGGGCATACCTACGTATTTGGCCTACCTACTTTCACTTCAAAAAAAAATTAAGCTCTTCTGAAAACTCCGAAAAGACGCAACATCATCACTTCAGGCGTCAAAAATTTGATTTATCTCAATATTTCAATATCATCATAATTCCCTACTGAAAAAATGCAGGGGGTTTTTTAGGTGGTACCGGTGTAATTTTTAACACTGAGTCCTAAGATGACATGAGTTTTTCCCCAATGGTCATCAATTTTCCGTAAAATAAGGATATTCTTCAAAAACGAGATTTTTCCAAGAAAATTCAATTCTTTAGGAAATTGTTGCATAGTATAGACTAACCAAGGTCTTTTCTGGATTCAGCAGTCCAAAATACATCTGAAATTATGTGTACACACTATGCCTGAAAAATTCTCCTCACTGTGTCTGGTAACAAGGTTGTCCCGATCAAATGGTTTAATCCACCTCTAATTCCCGTGTACAGCTATTTCGTTTGTTTTGCACCTAAAAGGACAAACGACTCAGCTTCTTTCTGAGTCCAACGCGGCCGCACCCTCTTACTTTTTGCTGATGAAGCCAAAAATGGCCTTTAATTTTTCCTTTCACCTGACATTTTTCTAAAAAAAAAAGAAGGAAAAAAAAAAAACTATTTTTACAAGCCAAAGTACGTGTGTTTTTGGAAATTTCAATTTTCTGGTGAACTGGCGAATGATGAAAAGATACTAGGTCCATTTCTAGCTTCAGCAGTAAAAAGTAAAAAGGAATAATTCCGCGAGACATCTGAATGAAATAATTTACATGTATGTTCAGATGAGAAAGAAATGGACTAGTTTTATATGGGGGTAAGAGGGCTGATTATGTCATCCAGGACAAAAAACATAGTTTTGAGATAGAAACGGCAGAATATTTTGGGTATGTGATACACGTTATCAATGTACCTAATTCTGGCGGCTGAGGGTAAAAATGGCCTTAGTTTTATCACTCGCCAATTCACAGTCGAGATTCAACCATCCTAGTGTAGGCAAGAATGATAAATTGAGGGGAGAGGGGTAAGTAAGGGGGAGTGTTGCCGGTCTTTTCTTGAATTTTTTCGACGGACAGTGAGTAATGTTCAGAGATGAGCTACAAGACAAGGAGAGTACGGGGCCAAAATTCAAATTTTAATGATCGTGTCAGAGAGCTGAATATTAAAATCAATACGCTAAAAAAAGATACTTAGACAAAGAGAAAATGCAGCGATCCTATTAGTGGATGTGCGAGGTTGTTACAGACCAAGAGGGAAAATGAAGGACTAACTAAGCGACCTCTCATGGGTTTGCCATTAGTTAGTGTAAGTGGCATTAGTGTTCCTTTGTCTGGTACAACACCTGCTTTCACTGAAAGGATCGCTCCATTTTCCCTTCATTTCGTTTGCCTATAGGGTAATTCTCTGCTATTTCTACTATTTCAGCCCGAAATTTTCGGAAGATGAATTCTCAACGACGCCTTGGCAGATATGTTCTTCTAAAAGTTCACGTAATTTGGCACTCGGAATCAATAATGGTCTCCACAAGAAACAGAGTTTCAGTCTTTCGCCGGGCAGGCAGAAATTATGAACCCGGATGAAATCTCAACTCAGTCCTCTAATTTTTTGTCTTTTTTTATTATAATAGTCCTCTTGAATTTTTTCACACTCCAAGAAAATGTGTTGCAAATGCAATGAATTTTCACAAAAAAGCCCTCGAATTATCAGGAAAGAAATTATTTCTAAAAACGGGCAGATTTTGGGAAGAAAAACTGAAATATATCAAAATTTCTTCCTGCCAATTTCTACATTTCCCTGGTGGATTTTTGTACAGAATACGTTCAATTTCTTTAGGTGTTAAATCGATATAAGTTGTAAAAATTCGATTTGGTGCTAGAGGAACTCATGTTTCTTTCAAAATTAAGCCATACCAAAATTACGACTGAGTTGAGAAGAAATGGGTGAGATAGAGAGATAGTAGTCCAGCCAATTTAGCTCTAAATAAGGGTCATCTGGGAAAATCCATAAATAGAAGGTTTTTTTGCGGAAACATGTTGCATTAGGCTACCAGAACAACATATCAAAAGTTTACCGAAATCGGCTGTCCGCTAAGGCCGCCATCTTGAAAAAAGGGGGGCGGGGGTCCAAAATACGCCGCCGGCGACCGGTTTTTAGCTTATATCTTGAAAAATATCAATCCTACGGACAAATGTCAAAGAACCTGTAAAAAAGATCATAAAATTTCCTATCAGAAACACTATACATTCATCAAATTGCGACTTCTGGTTCGTGAGATATGGCGGTAGTTTCCTACGGCTAGGAAAGTCAAATCTTGCGAGAAATCGCGTTTTTTCAACAAAATCTGTGATTATCTTAAAAACGGCGAGTCTGAGGCAAAAAAGTGTTCTCACCGGAATGAAAGAGCATAACATTTCCATGCTAAGAATGCTTATGAATACACTAGGGGGTCCGTCCCCGGAGCGCTATGCGGTCCTAACCAACGGCAGCTACTACGCGGTGAGGCTCGGCTTGGCCGCGCCATGAATTGTAGCGGTCCGAGATGAAACAGCTTCACCTTTTTGGTAGATTTACCGCGAAGGTAAGTTACATTATCCATTTAAATATGTACTCATTTCCTTTCATCATGACCCCCCCTCCCCTTTAGGTCATTCTTGTTGTATAGTTAATACCTAACTGTCAAAGTCAACGGTCACGATTGAAAGAGAGTCCCTTTATACCCAGAGTTAAGACAGCTCACTTTTGGTTGGGCTGAAAGTAGCCTAAAAAAAATCCAATTCTGATTGGTTCTCGCTAATGGAGGCCGAAACGAGTGCACCAAGATGGCGGTACCTCGAATGTGAACAAGAATAATGAAAATATTACCTAATTGTGGTTTATCAAGAGTTAATTGTTATTTCCATCGGTCTAAAATGAAAATAGATTAAGAAATTATTCACAAACCAATCTAATATTCGTTTTAATTGATCAATTTGTTGATGTTGTTGTTTTTGTGTGACAGACATCGCAGGATTCCTGATCCTTATACCTCAATATCGTTCGTTTGGGTGCACTCGTTTCGGCCTCCATGGCCAGCCAAGGCCGGCTGCCAGTCAGCTGATAATCGAGTTGTCTTAACTCTGGGTATAAAGGGACTCTAGATTGAAGATAATGTTATAATGTTATGCTCCCTTATTCAAATCCAATTTGTCAAACAACAAATCTTCTGTTTTCGAAGTAACTAAAAGGAAATGAATTAATACAAAATATAGAAAGAGGGAGACAAGCATTTCTTAGTTCATTACCTTGGGGTGATTCGATGGACGCCATATTTTCTGAAAGAACGGCATGCGATGTATCGCATCAATTGGTTCCATTTCTTCAGCTACACGTCATTTTTCTCCAAATTTGAGATCGCAATTCTGTTGCCAGGAGACTAACGGGAATAATAGACGTGGTTTTTTCAGAGAGAAAACATCGCATTCTATACTGATATGGAAACTGCACTCGAATGCGATATTTTCTCTCTAAAAAAACCACGCCTTTATTACGTTGAATTTCTTTGTTAAAATTGGTCAGCGAGTGCTTTAGTCTCCTGACAACAGAATTGCAATCTCAAAATTGGAGAAAAATGACGAGTAGCTGAATGAATGGAACCAATTGATGCGATATATCGCATTCCATTCTGACACGAAATATGGCGTCCATCGAATCACCTAAAGCGGCGGTTGTTAGTTTAAATTCATCCTCTGCTTCCTCCTCGATCAGTGTTTCTGCTTGATTGCTGCATCCCAAGCCGGAACAGTGTAGACAAATGTCACTGCATGGTAGACCACCTCTCTTACAAGAGCAGCGGTTACTACAGCCTTTCGAACATGTGCATGAGATGATTTGTAAAAGATCTTGGGAGGGCAGGCGGGTTGAGCATAGGTACAGGGAGAAGCCCGAGTTCCGAAGATTTCTACCCCCATTCCTTGGGATTCAGTTTTCTTCCTCTCCAGAGTTGGACTTGATAATATACACGT